CTCAAATCCGGCTATATAAAAATAACCGGTTTCCCTGAATCCCTTCACTAACTATTACCCTGCTCACACTCGAACAGATCGTCAGGTCCCAAATACCATTCGTCGCCTATCTAACACGCTCACACACACTTGCTGGAAGTCCAAGCCCCTCGCCCATAAAACCTCTTTTACTCCCTCCCTCCAACCTTTTCGAGGACGACCCCTACCCCGCCTTCCTTCCCCTACAGATTTATACGTTCTCCATGTCATTCTACTTTGATCCATTCTCTCTAAATAACCAAACCACCTCAACAACCCCTCTTCAGCCCTCGGACTAATACTTTTATTAACTCCACACCTTCTCCAAATTTCCACACTCCGAATTTTCTGCGTAATATTTAGACCACACATTGCCCTTAGACAGGACATCTCCACTGCCTCCAACCGCCTCCTCGCTGCTGCATTCACAACCCAAGCCTCACACCCATATAAGAGTGTTGGTACTACTATAGTTTCATACATTCCCTTCTTTGCCTCCATAGATAACGTTTTTTTGTCTCCACATATACCTCAACGCACCACTCACCTTTTTTCCCTCATCAATTCTATGATTAACCTCTTCCTTCATAAATCCATCCGCCGACACGTCAACTCCCAAGTAGTATCTGAAAACATTCACTTCTTCCATACTCTTCCTCCCCAATTTGATATCCAATTTTTCTTTATCTAAATCATTTGATACCCTCATCACCTTACTCTTTTCTATGTTCACTTTCAACTTTCTACCTTTACACACACTCCCAAACTCATCCACTAACCTTAGCAATTTTCCTTTAGAATCTCCCATGAGCACAGTATCATCAGCAAAACGCAACTGTGTCAATTCCCATTTTGTATTTGATTCCCCATAATTTAATCCCACCCCTCTCCCAAACACCCTAGCATTTACTTCTTTTACAACCCCATCTATAAATATATATTTAATCTAAGTTATTTTATTAATATTAACACATCAGCTGAGTCCCACCAAGGCAGGGTGGCCTGAAAAGGAAAAACTTTCATTATTCACTCCATCACTGTCTTGCCAGAGGGGTGCTTTACACTACAGTTTATAAAACTGCAACATTAACACCCCTCCCTCAGAGTGCAGACACTGTACTTCCCATCTCCAGGAGTCGAGTCTGGCCTGTCGGTTTCCCTGAATCCCTTCATAAATGTTACTGTGCTCACACTCCAACAGCACATCAAGTATTAAAAACCATTTGTCTCCATTGACTCCTATCAAATACGCTCACGTATGATTGCTGGAAGTCCAAGCCCCTCGCACACAAAACCTCCTTTACCCCTTCCCTCAAACCTTTCCTAGGCCGACCCCTACCCCGCCTCCCCTCCACTACAGATTTATACACTCTCGAAGTTATTTGTTTTTGTTCCATTCTCTTTACATGTCCAAACCACCTCAACAACCCTTCCTCAGCCCTATGGACAAGTTTTGGCAATCCCACACTTCCTCCTAACTTCCAAACAAAATATTTTTTGTTAATACTTTTGGCTGTTTGAAACAGATTAATTGGATTTCCATTATTTCTTATGGGGAAAATTAATTTGGCAAACGGCAAAATCGGTTAAAGGAAAGCTCTCTGGAACAGATTAATGCCGTTACCTGAGGGTCCACTGTATTCCCCAAAGAGATATTAGGTCAAATAACAATGGCTCCATGTGGGTTAACAGGAGGCTAAAGCATTTACTAGGAGAGAAAAGAGTACTTTATAGGCACATCAAAAGAAGAGCAATTAACCTTACTGACCAATATGTTCAATTAAAAACAGAAGTATAAAAGCTAAACATGACTATGAAATTAAAAATGCTAATGAATCAAAGGCTAATACAAAAGGGCTCTTTCAAGTGTACAGGACAAAGGTGAGGGAAAAGGTAGGGCCTCTGAAAATTGGGAATGGACAGCTGACGGATAACGAACCGGAAATGTGTTCTCCATTTAACCCTTTCAGGGTTTCAGACGTACTAGTATGGCTTACGCACCAGGGTTTTTGACGTACTAGTACGCCTAAGTTCTAGCACCCTCAAATCTAGTGAGAGAAAGCTGGTAGGCCTACATATGAAAGAATGGGTCTGTGGTCAGTGTGCGCAGTATAAAAAAATCCTGCAGCACACAGTGCGTAATGAGAAAAAAAAAACTTTGACCGTGTTTTTGGATTAAAACAGCGACTTTGCACTGTATTTTCATATGGTATTTGTTGTATTCTAGTTTTCCTGGTCTCATTTTATAGAATGGAAGACATATTACAGAAATTGAAATGATTTTGACTGGTTTTACAATGAAAAGAACCTGGAAATTGAGCTCAAAGTAGCAGAAATGTTCGATTTTTACCAAAGTTTAAAAGTAAACAAATCATGCTACGCGTCCAGTACACGTCAACTGATGAGTCTAATATTCTTTCACAAGTGTGGCGATATTATTTATACCATTTCTACACAAATGTAGTAGTCTGCATAACAGTAAATCTATTTTTTGAGAATAAAAATTCAAAGTGGAAAGCAAAAGAATGTAAGAGGGGCGTGGGGATGTGACTAATGAACAGAGGAAATGTTATTTTAGTGCCAGGAATGTCTCTCTTGTTTATTCTGGACCCTATTTGGAAATTGGCATCTTTTGAAATTTGTGTGAAATTGGCAAAATTGCTAAATTCTGACCACTGTATTGGATAGTTGAAATCGGTAAATGGGTGGTTTCTTGTACTCATTCGATAGAAAAAAATGAAGTTCTAGCGAAATAGTTATGATTTTTGTTGACTAGTACACTGGAATTGGCTGAAAATAGGGCTCAAAGTGGGCAAAATCGCCGATGCGTAAACATCGTCGAGACCGCTAACTTCGCAAGAGCATAATTCCGTATGTTTTCCATCAAATTTCATATTTATAATGTCATTATGATTGGGAAAAGATTCTCTATCTTTTCATAAGAATTTTTTTTTTTTCTTTTGAAATTTGGGCAACCCTGATAACAAGTCTGGGAGAGGGCCTGGGGACCCTGAAAGGGTTAATGATTATTTTTTGTCAGTCTTTACTCAAGATGACATTAATGAGATTCCAGAAATTAACAATTATTCAGTTCCTGAAGAATTCAAATTAATGAATATTACTGTCACGAGGGACAAGGTTATCAAACAGATAGATAAATTTAAACAAAATAAATCCCTGGGACCCGACGAGTTGTTTTCCAGGATACTTAAAGAATGCAAGATGGAACTTAGTCAGCCATTAATGAGTGTGTTTTATGCATCCATCTTAACTGGTGTTGTGCCAGAGATGTGGAAGATAGCTAATGTAGTCCCTATATTCATATCAGGGGATAGGTCCATTCCATCAAATTACCATCCAATAAGCCTGATGTCTATAATAGGCAAAATGTTAGAATCAATTGTAGGTGATATTATTAGAAGTCATCTTGAAGAGGGGAGATATCATTGAGAATGAGGGGAGATATCATCGAGGTGTATAAGTGGATGATGGGCATAAACAAAGGTGATATTAATAGAGTACTGAGGGTGTCGAACCAGGAAAGAACCAGAAATGCTGGATTTAAGTTGGATAAATTTAGATCTAGAAAGGACATAGGCAAGTACCGGTTTTCAAACAGAGTGGTGGATGCGTGGAATGGTCTTCCGAATAGGGTGATCGAGGCTAGGACCTTGGGTGACTTTAAAAAGAGATTGGACAAATATATGAGTGGGATGGGCTGGGTTCAAGTGGTGTCATGGGTAAGGGAGTTAATTCTTGGGTAGCCAGTAGGCCTTCTGCAGTGTTCCTCCATTTTTATGTTCTTAGGTTCTTAAATCGTAATTATGAGAACATAAAAATAATATAAATAAATAAATTAAAAAAGGTAACACGGCAACACTTCTGCAAGCGGCAGGACTATGTTGCCATCAAGTGAGCATTCACTGCCAACTTTTTTTTTTACATGTAAAAAAAAGTCCTCTGCATTTAATTTTTTTTTTTTTTTTCAAAATATTCAAAGCACTGGGCGAGAGAATGTAGATCTACATTTTGACAGTTAAGGGGTTAACTGGTTCCAGAAAGCTGTTCAAGCGCCGATCTGTTCGAGTACAGCACAAATTTTTCCTAACCAATTTTCTTTTTGGTTGGCTGTTATCACTAACCCTCTTAAGCACCAGAGTGACTTATTTATACAAATAATAAAAAAAAATGGGAAGAAACACGAAATACGTACTTTACAGCGAAGTTACGGCAGATCATGTTTGTTTAGCTGAGTGCTGAGCAAACGGTCGACTACCGAGTGATCTGCTTACTGAATAAAGCATTTGAATACCGAATTGTTCGAGTACAGAGCTATTTGAGTAGGGAGGTTCCACTGTATTCATGCCTGGTACACTTTGGTCTCCTTTACTCCCACTCAAATTTTTCATCACAACTCAAAACTAAATTTCTTTGAGGGCAAATCATAACTCAAGTGGCTACTGCAGCTATCCATCTCTTCTCTCATTCTTCTTCTTCCCTCCCCATCTATCTATCTCTATCTCACTCTCAACTCACTCACAAACACACTGACATACACACGCACACACACACACACACACACACACACACACACACACACACACACACACACACACACACACACACACACACTCACTCACTCACTCACACTCACACTCACACTCACACACACACTCACACTCACACACACACACACACACACACACACACACACACACACACACACACACTCACACTCACACTCACACCACACACACACTCACACACACACACTCACACACACACTCACACACACACTCACACACACACACACACACACACACACACACACACACTCACACACACACTCACACACACACTCACACTCACACTCATAACACACACTATTATGGAAATACTCTAGTGTTACAAGACAAAACAATCTTTAGCAATACAGTATATAGGAAAAAAGTTGATAATTGAAGTATGAAATGAAGACTTACTTTAGTCCAGAGAGTTCCATTATTTGCAGCTTGTGTAAGCTTTCCTTTAAGACATATCTCAACTTGGTCCTTGTCCAGCTCAGTGACACATCGAGCAAAACACCGGCCAACATATGCTCTGTGAAGTCACATTATTTTTTTTAATGACCTCATCTACATGCTATATGCATTTTTAATTACAATGACTTACATAAAATATGTAAAACATTGGATAACATTTATAATAATAAAAAAAAGAGCAAATTCTCAACATTTACAGTGGGTGCTCTCATAACTTTGCTTGGATTAACCACATGTCACTCCTGACCAGCCACCCCTCACAGCAGATGGATAAAAGTACAGGCACATCTGTTAACCTAATGAATGGAGACTGGAAATTTCTGATTATTATTATAATCAAAAAGAAGTGCTAAGCCACAAGGGCTACACAGCTGGAAATTTCTGAGAAGGGCAAGTTTGATAGTACACATCACTGAATATCTTTTATACCATACAGTAATATCTTTGATCCAAACAATTGAGAAAAATAAAAGTAATATTAAAAAACTCCTAACATTCACCATTAAGAGTATGATATAATAAGCAGCATCTTTATTTGACTGCATAAGCCATGATTTTACCTTGAACATTTTGAACATCCTATGCTGTGTCAAGTTTCACCCAGATTATCCTGAACATCCCATGCTGTGTCAAGTTTCACCCAGATTATCCTGAACATCCCATGCTGTGTCAAGTTTCACCCAGATTATCCTGAACATCCCATGCTGCTTCAAGTTTCACCCAGATTATCCTGAACATCCCATGCTGCTTCAAGTTTCACCCAGATTATCCTGAACATCCCATGCTGTGTCAAGTTTCACCCAGATTATCCTGAACATCCCATGCTGTGTCAAGTTTCACCCAGATTATCCTGAACATCCCATGCTGTGTCAAGTTTCACCCAGATTATCCTGAACATCCTATGCTGTGTCAAGTTTCACCCAGATTATCCTGAACATCCCATGCTGTGTCAAGTTTCACCCAGATTATCCTGAACATCCTATGCTGTGTCAAGTTTCACCCAGATTATCCTGAACATCCTATGCTGTGTCAAGTTTCACCCAGATTATCCTGAACATCCATGCAGTGTCAAGTTTCACCCAGATTATCCTGAACATCCTATGCTGTGTCAAGTTTCACCCAGATTATCCTGAACATCCTATGCTGTGTCAAGTTTCACCCAGATTATCCTGAACATCCCATGCAGTGTCAAGTTTCACCCAGATTATCCTGAACATCCTATGCTGTGTCAAGTTTCACCCAGATTATCCTGAACATCCTATGCTGTGTCAAGTTTCACCCAGATTATCCTGAACATCCCATGCTGTGTCAAGTTTCACCCAGATTATCCTGAACATCCCATGCTGTGTCAATTTTCATAAACCAAGAGGGAAAAGTTCAGTACAGTTCTTGTTGTCATTTGCCACAAAGTTAAAGATCTGAAGGTGAATATTCATCATATAATGCCACCCACCCATGGACATGTGCAAGCACCTAACCATTTAAATATCTAGTTTTCAATAAATAATAAATTATTTTAATACATTTACTATATAAAATATGGGAAACATTTCATTTCTGTTATCCATTTATGGTTCTGGAGAATACCTTCCCCAGGGCCCAGTCTCAGGCCAGCCCTCATCAGATGTAAAGACAATATTACAGGATTAAGAACTATTAAGGAAAATAAAGACACATGAATTTTGAATGCAAGTAAGTTAATAGTGAACTTAATTTAAATGAAAACAACAGAATATGTGAGGCTTGAATCTATGGCAGGCAAGTCCTAAAACTCATAGGCCAGTGTGCTAACCACTAAACCAACTGTCTCTAATTGGATTTAACCTGCTAGATACTTTTCTGTACACTGTGACCACAAATGCTGGTTTTTTACAGATGAATCCCACATTAATACAACTGTGATTTGTCTGCAATTGTGTTTTTACAATTTTATAAATTCTTACTCCTCCTTTGCCTCCCTTACTGAGCAACTCCTGGGTGCCCTGGGCTCTCGAGTTCTTCAGGTTAAGTACAGCATTAAGTACGGCATTTTGCCTCACGGCATTCCGCTAATACGGCAATCTCAAATTATGACCAAAACTTCCTATACAGCAAGTGGTCTTTCAAATACGGTGCATGCCACCCGGTTTGTTTACATTCTCCATGAGCACATCTATTATGTAATAATCACTCTTGGGCACATTAAATGTCTAATTTTACTTCAATACAGACATTTTCATTAAACCATCTATGGTATTTTCTTTAAAATTATATACGAAACATGTTACATAACATATAAACATGCTGTTTATATGCTATGGAGTTGTGGTTGCCGGGCGGAGGGAAAACATTACTTAACCCGTAAACGGTCCAAACGTATATATACGTTTTTTCAACATTTGAAAGTATGTAAAAAAAGTATATCTTCTTTTTGTTTTTCTACATTTGAAAATGTGTAAAAAAAATATGTAAAAAAACTTAGATCTACTTTTGTAGCACTACACATGTGAACGTAGATCTGCTTGGACCGTTTACGGGTTAATATTAATAATAATCACTCGTGCACATTAAATGTCTTACTTTACATTTATATAGACATTTTCATTAATCCATCTATATTTTCTCCCAAATTATATAAGAAACATGTTACATAGCACATAAACATTTAATGTTCATATACACATGTACTATGGAGGTGCGGTAGCCGGGCGGAGGGAAAACATTACATCATAATGCTTTTGTTTACAATTCTCGGCATATGCTGCTATGTATGATAATCTATGTACGTAACTGTATCTGTGTATACCTGAATAAACTTAGTTTTTTTTTTTTTAACAAGTTGGCCGTCTCCCACCGAGGCAGGGTGACCCAAAAAGAAAGAAAATTCCCAAAAGAAAATACTTCCATCATCATTCAACTCTTTCACCTCATTCTCACATAATCACTGTTTTTGCAGAGGTGCTCAGAACACAACAGCTTAGAAGCATATACGTATAAAGATACACAACATATCCCTCCAAACCGTCAATATCCCGAACCCCTCCTTTAGAGTGCAGGCATTGTAAACAAATAAACAAGAACAAGAACCAGTAAGAAAAAAGAAATCCCAGAAGGGCTTGTATATATATGCTTGTACATGCATGTGTTCTCCATGGGGAAGTGGAACAGAATTCTTCCTCCTTAAGCCATGCGTGTCATAAGAGGCGACTAAAATGCCGGAAACAAGGGGCTAGTAACCCCTTCTCCTGTATATACAGTGGACCCCCGCATAACGTTGGCATCGCATAGTGTTAAATCCGCATAGCGATACATTTTATCGCTAAAATTTTGCCTCGCATAGTGCTAAAAAATTCGCTCAACGCGATTCGTCCGAGATGCGTCCATGCGGCCTGAGCCAGCCTCACTTTTTCTGCCAGTGGCATTGTTTACAAGCCAGCCTCCGTGGTAACATTCAAGCATACAATCGGAACATTTCGTATTATTACAGCCTTTTCATAGTGATTTCACCTGAAAAATAAGTGACAATGGGCCCCAAGAAAGCTTCTAGTGCCAACCCTACAGGAATAAGGGTGAGAATTACTATGGAGATGAAGAAAGTGATCATTGCTAAGTATGAAAGTGGAGTGAGTGTCTCCGAGCTGGCCAGGTTGTATAGTAAACCCCAATCAACCATCGCTTCTATTGTGTCCAAGAGAACGGCAATCAAGGAAGCTGTTCTTGCCAAAGGTTTAACTGTGCTTTCGAAACAGAGATCGCAAGTGATAGAAGATGTTGAGAGACTGTTATTGGTGTGGATAAACGAAAAATAGATAGCATGCGACAGCATCTCACATGCGATCATAAGTGAAAAGGCTAGGAAGGTGCACGAGGATTTAATTAGAAAAATGCCTGCAACTAGTGGTGATGCGAGTGAATTTACGGCCAGCAAAGGTTGGTTTGAGAGATTTAAGAGGCGTAGTGGCATACATAGTGTGATAAGGCATGGTGAGGCTGCCAGCTCGGACCAAAAAGCAGCTGAAAAATATGTGCATGAATTCAAGGAGTACATAGACATTGAAGGACTGAAACCTGAACAAGTGTTTGTGACGAAACAGGCCTGTTTTGGAAGAAAATGCCAAGCAGGACCTACATTACTCAGGAGGAAAAGGCACTCCCAGGACATAAGCCTATGAAAGACAGTCTTACTCTTCTCATGTGTGCCAATGCTAGTGGTGATTGCAAAGTGAAGCCTTTATTAGTGTATCACTCTGAAACTCCCAGAGCGTTCAGGCAAAAGAATATCCTCAAGGCTAATTTGTGTGTGCTGTGGAGGGCAAACAATAAGGCATGGGTCACTAGGGACTTTTTCTATGACTGGTTACACCAAGCATTTGCCCCCACTGTGAAAAATTACCTAACTGAAAAGAAATTAGACCTTAAGTGCCTCCTGGTGTTAGACAATGCCCCTGGTCATCCTACAGACTTGGCAGAGCGACTTTGTGGGGACATGAGCTTCATTAAGGTGAAGTTTTTGCCTCCTAATACCACTCCTCTCCTGCAGCCCATGGACCAGCAGGTTATTGCAAACTTCAAAAAACTGTACACAAAAGCTCTGTTTGAAAGGTGCTTTGTAGTGACCTCAGAAACTCAATTGACTCTAAGAGAGTTTTGGAGAGAGCACTTTAATATCCTCAATTGCGTAAACCTTATAGGTAAGGCTTGGGAGGGAGTGACTAAGAGGACCTTGAACTCTGCTTGGAAGAAACTGTGGCCAGAATGTGTAGACCAAAAGGATTCTGAAGGATTTGAGGCTAACCCTGAGAATCCTATGCCAGTTGAGGAATCAACTGTGGCATTGGGGAAGTCCTTGGGGTTGGAGGTTAGTGGGGAGGATGTGGAAGAGTTGGTGGAGGAGGACAATGAAGAACTAACCACTGATGAGCTGCTAGATCAACTTCAACAGCAAGAGGCCACACCTGAGGAAATTGCTTCAGAGGAGGAGAGAGAGAAATTGAAGAAGTTGCCTACTTCAAAGATTAAGGAAATCTGTGCAAAGTGGCTTGAAGTGCAAACCTTCATGAATGTAAATCAGACAGCTATTGCAAGCTGTGCTGGTGACTATTACACTGACACTGTTGTGAAACACTTTAGGAAAGTCATAATGGAACGAGAGGTACAGGCCACTATGGACAGATATGTTGTGCGAAGTCCAGTGACTCTGAAGCTGGTCCTAGTGGCATTAAAAGAAGAAGGGAAGCAACCCCGGAAAAGAACTTGACACCTCAAGTCCTAATGGAAGGGGATTCCCCTTCTAAACACTAAAACCATCCAGTCTCCCCTCCTCCCATCCCATCAATCATCACCACATCTTCAATAAAGGTAAGTGTCATGTAACTGTGCATGTTTTCTTAAGTTTGTGTGTATTAAAATTAATATTTCATGTGGTAAAATTTTTTTTTTTTCATACGTTTGGGTGTCTTGCACAGTTTAATTTTATTTCCATTATTTCTTATCGGGAAAATTAATTCGCATAATGATAATTTCGCATAACATTGAGCTCTCAGGAACGGATTAATAGCGTTATGCGGGGGTCCACTGTATTACTAAATGTAAAAGGAGAAACTTTCATTTTTCCTTTTGGGCCACCCCGCCTCGGTGGGATATGGCTTGTGTGTTGAAAGAAGAAGACACGCATGTGTAGTGTGACCTCAGTGTAAGTAGAAGTAGCAAGACATACCTGAAATCTCGCATGTTTATGAGACAAAAAAAGACACAGGCACTTCTACCATTATGAAAAACAATTACAGACTTCCATTTTACACTCGCCTGGTAAGACGGTAATACCTCCCTGGGTGGGTGCTGTTTACCAACCTACTACCTAGGACAGTAATACCTCCCTGGGTGGGTGCTGTTTACCAACCTACTACCTAGGACAGTAATACCTCCCTGGGTGGGTGCTGCCTACCAACCTGCTACCTAGGACAGTAATACCTCCCTGGGTGGGTGCTGCCTACCAACCTGCTACCTAGGACTCAGTAAACTTTTTTGCCTATAATTTTTACAATCTCTTTTGCCCCTTTAAATCAATAAAAAACAAGGCAGGAGACCTAAATAACTTGTCACCAATCACGTAGAAAAAAGCAGCTCATGTGCTGTCCCTTATTATTGCAACACAACTTAACAAAATTGTTGAATCTTCAACATTCCCATCCATACTCAAGACAGCAAGGGTCACACCGATCCTCAAATGAGGCAATCCTACAGAACTAACACTCAAACAACATCCCACTCTGACGGTTTTCTCTTTCTAGTTAGCTATATGGGAAACAGTGTTACTAGCCCATTGCTCCCAGCATTTTAGTCGACTTTTACAACAGGCATGGCTTACGGAGGAAAGATTCTTATTCCATTTCCCCAGGGAAATGAAAGGAAAAGTAATAAGAACAAGAACTTTCTTCTTTCAACAAACTGGCTGTATCCCACCAAAGCAGGGTCCCCCAAAAAGAAAAACAAAAGTATGTCTTTTTAACTTTAGTAATGCATACAGGAGAAGGGATTACTAGCCCCTTGCTCCCGGCATGTCAGTCGCCTCTTACAACATGCATATCTTATTCAAGAAGAATTCTGTTCCACCTCCCCATGGAGATAAGAAATAAACAAGAACATGAACTAGTAAGAAAACAGAAGAAAACTCATAGGGGTATGTATATATATGCATGTACATGCATATGTAGTGTGACCTTTAGTGTCAGTAGAAGTAGCAACCTTTGATATACCTTTGAAGAGTTTCGAGAGTTTATCTACTCTCTGAGCCCGGCCATGGGCCAGGCTCGTCTGGTGCTTGCCTGGTCAACCAGGCTGTTGCTGCTGGAGGCCAGCTGCCCCACCTATCCATCACAGCCTGAAATCTTACCTGAAATCCTACACATTTATGAGACAGAAAAAAAGACACCAGCAATTATACCATCATGTAAAACAAATACTACAGGGTTTCGTTTTACACTCACTTGGCAATATGGTAATACCTTCCTGGGTGGTTGCTGTCTACCACCCTACTACGTACATGTACATTTTTTTTGTTATGAGAGTACTCAGTGACAACTATCCAACTAGCAAAACACAAAATATGAAACGTGGCCATACAAACCTCTATCTGGCAGAAGCTATTCCCCACATACAATAGTTCAAATAGTCTAGCCCCCCACCCCATACAAAGTATGTAACGCATTCACTTACTTCAAACTTTCAGGCCAATCACCATTAGCTACTAGTCCAGTCATTCCTTTTATATCCTTGACACCTTTTGGTTCTTGTGTCTTGTTCATACCACTTTGGATTTCATTAACTGAAGATTTGTTGACTGTGGCTTGATCATCATTATTTTCTTTTCCACCTGATGAATTTGGAGAAAGATGCTGCTGCTGGTTAGAGAGAAACTGCATCTTGCTCCATGGGCTATTTGACATAAGCATAATATTCTTATTCTTTTTATTTTTCTTCTTATTATGACCCGTATTATGCTGCTGATAATGCTGCTGCGTGTGCTGTTGCTGCATATGCTGCTGTTGCTGCACATGCTGTTGCTGTACATGCTGTTGTTGCATATGCTGCTGCTGCTGCACATGCTGTTGTTGCTGCTTTTGTGCTTGCTGCTGCTGGTCTTGCTGCTGCTGCTGCACCTGTTGCTGCTGCACCTGTTGTTGCTCATGCTGCTGCTTCTGTTGCTCTTGCTCTTGCTGCTGCTGCTCTTGCTGTGATTGTGGCTGCTGTGGTTGCTGCTGTGCCTGCTGCTGCTGCAAGGCATTAAAGCCAAGGCCTTTCTTACTTGGAAGATTAAATTTAACTGGAACCCCTGAAATGCCTGGAGAATTCCCTCTACTCACAGGTGATTGAGTGTAGTTTGGTGGTGGTCCAATTGGTGGAGGACCAGACGGTCCATACCACCCACCACTATAGGCACTATAGTTATCATAACTAGGACCATAGGATGGGTTATAGCTGTAACCCTGATTATAATCCTGATTATTATAATGCTGAGGTAGTGGAGCATTTGCATTTTGTTGACTACTGCTATCCTGATGCTTCCCAGGAGTATTGCTGTTGGAAGTGTTTAAATTATTCATCTTGTTCTGCCCATCATTTTCAGAATTCTGGCCAGCTGGAGGGGGACCGGGAGGGAGAGGAGGATTGTTGCTATTTCCAGAACTATTGCTGCTCTTATTATTATTGGTATTAGCATTGGCACTGTTCTCAGCCTGTGGTGTAGGTGGTGGGCCAGACATTCCTGGTGGCACACCATATCCCCACTGAGCTTGCTGTTGAAAAAAAAAAAACAGTTAAGCAAAGCTTGAAAATCACAACAAATAATTACTATAGATATTCTGCATAGTTTTCAATCCATCTTCCAGCCCTTTTAAACTTGTATTCTCTCTCTATTTTGGAGGGAATATATTTATATAAAAAAAGGCATAAAGGAAAAGAGCTAAAGTATCTTTCCATCCTTGAACTGAATGATCAATGTAATACAGGAAGAAGATGCATTAACTATTACCTGAAGAATAACAAAGAGTAATACAGTGTAACCCCAGATTTCATACTTAATCCGTTTCAGAAGGTCGGTCCAAATCCGAAACGTACAAATAAATTCAGTAATAGAACTAGGCATTAAAAAAACAATAAAAAGTAAAATAGTACATACATGGTACATTCTTTACTTACCTTAAAATATTTGTAGTCTTAATGTAGGGCGAGAGGTGAGTAGTATTTATTTGTAGGAAGTCAGTGTAGGTAGCCAGTACGTGTAGCCCAGGCTACCTACACTGCGGCCCAGAGCCATGTTATCATCATCAACATACCATGTTCACTGAGTTTAATCGTTTCTAACAACTACCTTTAGATACCATCACAAAGGGAGAAGTAATGAATAATTCATGCCGAGAATTGTAAACAAAAGCATTATGTATTAAGGGCGGTGACTGGGCCAGATGCAGATTCATACAGGTTTCTCTAATGCTGAACCAGAGAAAATGTAATGTTTTCCTTATGCCTGGCTAGCACACCTCCATGGTATTTAAACATTGCAAAAGCAATGTACAGTGTTTCTTACATAATTTTGAAGAAAATATCAGAGATGGATTAATCAAAATGTCTATATTAACATAAAATAAGACATTTAATGTGTCCAAGAGTTTTTATTATTATGTATTAGTATTATTACTATGATGTTAAGACTAGAGGGATACTCTTGGTGAGTAACAAAGGCATGTTTATATGCTATATAATGTGTTTCTTATAAAATTTTGAAGAAAATATCAGAGATGGATTAATGAAAATGTCTATATTAACATATGGAAGAAGGCGAGGAGGGGAGAGAGAGGAGAGCTTATTGTTTGAGAGGGTAATCCCCCTCCATAAGGACTTCAGGTATCAAAGCCCTATCTGGGGTTACTTCCCTTCCTTGTCTTTTACTGGCACTGAACCACTGCCACACTAAAAATCTGTCCAGAGCTCTCTGTTTCTAGCGTCTCTAAGATTTGCCTAAAATGGGGCAAGGTACTGTCACTGAACATGTTGCAGATACAGCTTGTATCAGCTTGGTCCCAGGCAGCGGACGCGTCTGATACATACGATTTCCGGGTGGAGGTACGAAATCCGGACCAAAATTTCACCCAAAAAAGTGGTCTAAATCCAAAACGTACAATATTTAGTGTGTATGAAATCTGGAGTTCCACTGTATGGTAATTCAAAAAAGCTATTGGAACATCACAGGTATTCTTTCTAGTTATATAAAATATGTGAAATATATGACATGCTTCAATATTTTAGAAATACAGTACTTAAGTTCTAAGGAAATCCATTTTAACTTCAGAAAACTACCCTTCCAGTATCACATACAGTAATACACCTACAAAATACGGGGGATAAATAAACTTTCATAGCTTCTACAAAAAAAATGTTCAGTGATGTTTCACTTACAGTGTCTGAGGAAATGGAAAACAATCAGGATACATCCAAGAAAGGGAAGGAAAGTTCCAATTCCCTTGATCAAGAGGTCTTCTACAGCATTAAGCACCTCCCTTCAGGGGTCGAATTACAAAACCATACAAATTTAAATCATTAAGCTAAGTTTATAATTACACCTACTGTTAAACAAATTAACTTGGGTTACCATTATTTTTTACACAGGCCCTATGTAACAGAAGGCTAACCTCCAAAAATCTATGACTACTTAATAACAAGCTGTCTCTGAGGCACAGTTTCCCAACAGTTATCCTAAGTCATTACTTTTATAGAAGTTTGCTTCTCTTCGCAAGCCAATTAAGTGTTTTACATGTCAATTTATAAAGTTGTACATCCTTAGACTGTAATAATAATAATAATATCTTTATTTACTACAAGTTCATGTATGTACAAGGTAAATAACAAAAAAAGGCACAATACCGTGACTGGAACGATACACAACTAACCCGCACATAAAAGAGAGAAGCTTACGACGACGTTTCGGTCTGACTTGGACCATTGACAAAGTCACACTAACCAGAGGTGGAGTAGGACGGCTATATATAGGCAGGAAGAGGTGAAGGTGGTAGTAGTAGTAGTAGTAGTACAAGAATGGTATATAATACCAACAAGATGAAATTAAGACACATGCGCAACACCCGGGCATCCCTATCGTAGACGTTTCGCCATCCAGCCAGCCACTGGATGGCGAAACGTCCACAACAAAGACAACCACACGCCGCACATGTGTCTTAATTTCATCAGTAGTTGTAGTAGTAGTAGTAGGAGCAGAGGTAGTAGTAGTGGTAGAGGTAGAAGTGGGAAATAAGGAGGACGAGCCAGTCAAATACAAAGGAAGGGGAGCACTGCAAGAGAGCTAGGTGCCCACTGAGGGAGAGCAAGCGCACAGAGGTGCGTGAAAGGGGAAGTGGGAAATAAATGAAGAAGGACAGAAACACGAGACAGAAGAGAGAAAGACAACCAGAGGAGAAAAGGAAAGAGGAAAGGGGAAGAGGGAGAAGAAGAAAAAGAAAAAGAAAAAATAAGGAGTTAGGTTAAGTCACGGATGTTCTGAAGTTTGGAGCATTTTACAATGTAGTGGGAGAGGAAGGCATCTACAGAGACAAAGCCAGGGCTAAGGTTCATACAAGGAAAGTTGTGTATTAGAGAGGATTCAACTAGACGGCGACTGTTCGAGTTGGAAGTAGGGAAGACAGTTTTAGCAGAAGACCAGTCAATAGGATGACTATGATCTCTGACGTGACAGAAAAGAGCATTGTTAGTGTCGGCAAGCCTAACACTATTTTTGTGCTCCTTAAGTCTGTCAGAAAGAGATCGACCAGTTTCTCCGAAGTATTGAAGAGGACAGGAGGAGCAAGAAATAGAGTAGACACCAGGAACATCTGTAGAGGGAGGAGAGGTATGAACGAGATTAGTGCGAAGAGTGTTAGTCTGGCGGAAGGTAAGCTTGATGTCTAAGGGACGGAGAGAATTGTCGAGATTAGAAAGACTGGAAATGTAGGGAAGGCAGAGGATACAAGAGTTCCCAGGAGTAGAGAGTTTGGGAGAGAAGAAATTGCGCTTAGCACATGAGAGGGCAGAGTCTATGAAATGGGAAGGGTAGCCAAGACGGGAAAACGAATTATGAAGAGTGGAAATTTCTGCTGGAAGGAACTGAGGATCACAGATGCGGAGGGCACGGAGAAAGAGGGAGATAAGAACACTTTTCTTGACAGGGGAAGCATGATAGGAAAAGTAGCGAATGTACATGCCACTGTGCATAGGTTTTCGGTAAACGGAAAAGGAAAAAACCTGTATCTGAGCGGTGGACATGGACATCAAGGAAAGGAAGCAAGGAATTAGATTCCCATTCAGCTTTAAACTTAATGGAAGGTGCAAGATTATTAAGAGCTTCAAGAAAAGGTTGGAAGAGACTGGAGTCATGAGGCCACAGAGCAAAGATGTCATCCACATAGCGGAGCCAGAGTGAAGGTTGCACATCGAGGGTAGGAAGAAGAACAGTCTCGAAGTATTCCATGTAAAGATTAGCAAGGACAGGAGAGAGAGGAGAGCCCATAGCGACACCGAAGGTTTGAGAATAATATTTCCCTTGGAAGGAAAAGGAGTTAAGAGTCCACACACAGGGGAATAAGATCAAGAAAGATATCAGTAGGTATAAGGAGATGAAGAACCCCTACATGGGCCTTCTCTCTAAGGAAATCAAGGACATCATCAAGAGGGACATTGGTGAAGAGGGACTCAACGTCAAGACTAAGCATCTTGCAGGTTGGGAGAGAGCGAACCCGTTCAATGAAGTCTTGAGAGTGACGGAGGTGGGCAGGAGAAAAAGTACCAAGAAAGGGAGTGAGGGTTTTGGCCAGCCAAGAAGCAAGAGAATAAGAGACAGAACCTCTAGAGGATATGATAGGACGAAGAGGAATATCAGGTTTATGAGTTTTGGGAAGGCCATAGAAATAGGGAAGAGAGGGACAGATGACACGAAACCGTTGAACAAGGTCAAAGTCAGGAGGACAGAGGTCTACTACTACTACTACAACTACTGATGAAATTAAGACACATGTGCGGCGTCTGGTTGTCTTTGTTGTAGACGTTTCGCCATCCAGTGGCTGGCTGGATGGCGAAACGTCTACGATAGGGATGCCTGGGTGTTGCGCATGTGTCTTAATTTCATCTTGTCGGTATTATATACCATTCTTGTACTACTACTACTACTACTACTACTACCATAACCTCTTCCTGCCTATATATAGCCGTCCTACTCCACCTCTGGTTAGTGTGACTTTGTCAATGGTCCAAGTCAGACCGAAACGTCGTCGTAAGCTTCTCTCTTTTATGTGCGGGTTATTTGTGTATGTACAAGGTATACAGGCCTCGCTGACATCATTGACATACGTATTACTATATAAAAAACCGCTTGTTATGCATAGCATTTCGAGCAAATTAGGTCAGTTTTGTACCAGGATGCAACCCACACCAGTCGACTAACACTCAGGTACCCATTTTACTGATGAGTGAACATAGACAACCGGTGTAAGGAAACACGTCCAATGTTTCCACCCCTTCGCTGGGAATCAAACCCAGACCCTCACCGTGTAAAGTAAGAGCTTTTGCCACCAGGCCACAGGGCACCGAGCTGTTCTACAACTGATCAAAAATAAGGTGTTTTAAAATTTAACAAGTATTACTCATGAAAAAAAAATTAAATGATGGCAAACAACTCACACAATGGATAATATTTGAACACATGGCAAATCAGTCCTAAAACTAGCATGCCAGTGCTCAAAATTACTGTACA